AAGGTGACAGTAGATGTCCTCTCCATCAGTCACTGAGCACCAGAGCCACCACCAGTGATGCGTGTCTGAGGCTGGGCACTAGAGCACCCACACCTTCTTTCTTGTGGGGAGGGGTAAGAGCCAGCGCTCTCCAGACCAGGCCCACTCAGCTGCCTCAGCCACTGTCACTCTCTTGAGACTCTGAGCCAGAGGGCCTTCCTGGATTGCACCGAGGGACCACGGAGATGCTCTGAGAGCGGAAGCTGCTCTCCCTGGGGGCTGCATTACCCTTGCAGCAGTAAATGAAAATGTGGAACGTGATACTGACTAGATTTAATTTTTCTTTTGTGTTTGTGGTGAAAATGATATCATTTATGTTTCCCTTAGTTGCTTAACAGTATTAAATATTTAAAACTTTTACAAGGCATTTGTTTTTCTACCTAGGGCCAAGTGTTCTCTCCTAAGCCTTTTATTGCATAATTATTTCATAATTTATTGAAACACTCTTAAAATACCACTGTAACAGATCTGTATAGTTCCTAATGATTAGACTCAGAGGAGAACACATAATAAAACAAGAGGGCAGTATTTTTCTATCATACACATGAAGTTGACATGCCTCCCCTGAACGAGCTCATAACATTTAAACAATCAAAGCAGAATGGAGCTGATAATAGCATTGCCTTGATATTCTCTTCCCTAAATTCCGTTCTTGCCTTTCCTGGAGGTTGACAAAGCTGCAGATTCTGAGCTGCTCACTTTCTCTGAGGGACCTCCTTCCTTGATGTCTGAAAGCAAACCATGCCAGGCTGCTGAACCTGCTCAGGACTCTGTGAGAGAGAGCTTATCCTTTCACAAACTCAGCAGCTCTTGGATGACGTGTTAGATAAGAGGAAGGTGGTTTGGGGAAAAATAATAGCATCTGAGCATGTTTTTCCCTGATTCTCTGTGACCTTGGTCAAGTTCCTAACTTCTATTTCTGCCAGTGGTGGTTGGGATTAAATGAATTACTACACATGAAATTCTGGCCCAAAGTAAGTGCTCAGTCACCATTTTCTGATTACAACCACTGTTGTTGAAGCCTCTCACTATCAAGAAATTAAAACACTTGTGTTCCGAAGCAAAGAAAGATTCCTCTAGGTAGAAAAACACATGCCTTGGCTAATCATGAAGTAGATAAGGAAAAAAAAAGTCTAGTACTCAGATTATGAATGCTTTATATGTACCGTGATCTGCATCAAAGCTTTGACCCTTCTGATAAACCATTAAAAAATAATTTGTTTTAGCAAGAAATAAACTATCACAAGAGAATTATTAATTGAGGAAATATATTAAATACATAAGAATTTAAACAATAAATAAAATTCCAAGCATGTGGAGATTTTAATGTCATTTTGCAATTAGTGCCATGTTATCATTGCATGACTTTGGTTAAATTATATTCAAATGAGAATTTGAATCATCCATGGACCTGAGGTGTATGGCCAACTTGTTCTACCCCCTGACCGGACCTGTGGTGGTGCTGGCTGTGAGAGGCCCACGGGAGGACTGCTGCCAGCAGCATAAGAGGCAGAACTACAGAAGCTGTGGGAGGCTGTTAGGGAAGCTGTTTGGAGAAGATGTTTGTGAACTGTTGGAAGCTGCTAGCTTTCTTGGGCAATTCTTTTGGAGGATCTTGTCATGCTGGCTTCCCTGATGAAATTGGCTGTTCCTGTCAGAGGAGGAGCGCAGGACCTCGTTGTCACTGAGGATGGCCACCATGCACTTTGGAGCAGCTCTGGTCCTCAGCTTGAGCATCACTTCCCGGCTCCAGGGAAGATGGCGCACAGATCAGTCTGCTGAAGAAACTCGTCCTTGGCTTTCCTGGTGGGCACTCAGCCTTCCTCATCCTCAGAGGACCTCGGAACCTCTCTGCTGCTGAGGATGGCTGTGGTCCCTCTGGGTGGAGCTCTGGATCTTACCTTGAATGTTGCTTCCTGGCTCCAGCGCAGACCCCTCAGCCTGCCAGCGCAGATCCTTCATCCTGCTGGCACAGACTTCCTAGCTTCCACCCCTGACCTTTGGGCCTTCCCAGCACAGAGCCATGAAGCCGACCTGCAAGAGACATCGTCATGGGCTCTAGACCTCCTGCTGGTCTTGTGGAAAATGTCATTATGAGCTCTAGGTTTTCAGCTGGACTCATACAGGATATTAGGATCCAGGAGCTCAGCTGGAGTCTTTGGTCTTTAGAGTGTGAACAGGGTTGGCCAAATAGCTCTTGGACCAGCCAAATAGGTCAGCAGGTTAAAGTGCCTATAAGCAGGCATAGTGGCCCTGGGTTCAATGCAATTGATACTGGGCGTGATGGCACACGCCTTTAATCTCAGCATTTGAGAGGCTATAAACTGGACAATCACTACAAATTGATCTAGTAGTGAGACCCTGAACACCCTATAGACCCTTTCCTAAAAAATAAGAAAAAAAAATAATAGAGTGTGAGCAGATTTCCTGAACTCTTTAAATATGATTCTTTGGGTGATTCATTATAAAATATTCTTATAAAATATGTGTGGTGTATTGTATTGTTCCCCTTGCATAACCCACAACCATGACAGTACTAAATGAACATTTCTAATATACCTATGAGAAGCACAGGTGTTTCTGTTTATCAATTAGAGTAAATACTGTCCATATTTCTGTATTGCCCATTCATGTAAAATACATGAACATATACACACTTCACAGATACATAGAGATTGATCTTGAGCAAGTGTTTCTTAAAGTTTTGCTCTAATTAAAGTGCTCTATTTTTTATGTAAATAATTCACATAACAAATCTCCACATTATGAGTACTGTTTTCAGCACTATCATAAGTCCACAAGAGGGCAGCAACTTCTCAGGAACTCCAAGGACATTTTCTAGTGCTACTGTGACTGTGTGTGTGTGTGTGTGTGTGTGTGTGTGTGTGTGTGTGTGTGTGTAAGAGAGAGACAGAGAGAGGGACAGAGAGACAGAGAGACACAGACAGAGAGACACAGACAGAAACTGAGAGAGAGAGAGAAGAGAGAGAGAGAGGCAGAGAAAGGCAGAGAGAGGCAGACAGACTAAGGGAGGTGCCTGGTGGTTAGGTTAGCAGGAGCATTGAAAGAACCTCTGTTTTGTAACTGATAAAACGTTCTTTTATTGATTTTTATATTTTTAGAAGTGACTGAAGAATTCTCACTTTTTTAGGGTTTAAAATCTGAATCCTCAGTGAACAAGGTAGAGGGACCAATGATGGAATCCTTTAGTGTTTCCTTACTGATCCTGTGTCTTCAGCTCATTTGTGAGTTTGGGCATTTGTAGGGGAATATAAAGTCCCAGTTTATGAACTTGTCTCTTCCAAGGACCGTGGGAGAAACATCAACCATTTTAACCTCTATATAAGGAGGGGCAGGAGGCCCATTAATATATAACTTTATTTTTGTCTTTTTGAGACAGGGTCTCTCTGTGCAGTTCAGGCTGGCCTTGCGCTCATTTTGTGGCCCAGGCAGGTATCGAACTCACAACAATCCTCCTGTGCCAGCTTGCCAAGTGCTGAGTTTGTAGGCATGCACCACCACACCCAGATACATTCATTTTGGAGAATGAACATCCACTACTCAACCAGTTTGCTCTGTCTGACCATTGTCTTTTTCCCCAGGGGTGAGCGGCCAGCAGAAGGAGGTAGAACAGAGTCCTGAGTCCCTCCGTGTTCCAGAGGGAGCCAGCACCTCTCTGAACTGCACTTACAGGAATAGCGCTTCTCGGACCTTCAGGTGGTACCGACAGTATCCTGGGAAAGGCCCTGAGCTGCTGGTGTCTGCATACTCCATTGGTGACCAAGAAGAGGGAAGATTCAGGGCCCATCTTGACAAATCCAGCCGACATCTGTCCCTGCATATCAGAGATGCCCAGTCCCTAGACTCAGCCACCTACCTCTGCGCAGAGAGCACACAGTGCTCCCCGGGCGCCTGCAGCTGCACCCAAACCTCAGAGGCTCTGGCAGAGCTGAGGCAGCGCAGAGAGCACAGGGCAGAGCTGTTCCGCTCCTGCTCCAGATGTAGTGGGAGCAAAGATCAACAGTAGGGAAGTCTCGTGCACTAATTAGGCGTTTTATAATTCTATAAATAGTGACCATGAAGGGAAAGGCATGATATTAGTCTGGTAGAAATATTTTCCTATTATCTGTTGACACTCTAATTAAAAATTTATGGTGTGTACAAAACAGTGCACATGCTTAAATATACATCTTTATGTGGTTGGGCATATAAACCTGAAACTGTCACTATAAACAACACCACTAACATATCCATCACTTCTATTTCCTTTCTCCTTGTTTTAAAATTGAATTATGATTTCAAAAACTTTTTAAAAATTGAACTGATTGATATACAAAGGTGTGCATAGTGCATACAGTTTGAAATACACTGATACGTAAATCACAAGTTTATAAAGGAAGTGTATTAATACACTAACAGATATTCCTCCACACTTACTGATGCCCTTTTTCTCTTTCCATTCACTTTCTCACGATGCCTGATGCACCACGTTCAGAATATATTGGAAAAAGAGAAACACAAAGGTAAGACAAGAGCCATAGAGACCTACTTTCAAAAAATTTTAGATCAGAATTCTCTTAGTTATAAAGCTCCTCCTCATTTCCACCTTCAGCTGCAACCCCACTCCTGACCAGATGAGGACGGCAGAAGGACTAGAAACCAGGATGAGAACTGGTAAACAACAAAAAACTAAATGATAGCAGAGACCTAGGACCTCAAGTGGTCTGTGTGGCCATTCTTGAGTTCAGGCTGTGTGGATCTCAGAGCTGCTGGCCAGAGCTGATTCCTGTGCCCCAGGGTGTGGCAAAGAGACATGAGAAGCAGCATCCCAGCCACATACTCTTGCATGCACCAGGACCTGGAGACATGAGGGGCTGGAGATTTCTTGAGAAAGCTCTCTGAGAAGCGTTCTAGATTCCAAGGCATTTTGTTCCCATGACCAACGATCCTCCTGGGTCCACTACTACAGGCTGCACAGCAGTGAGAGTCCTTTAGCCAGAATCCGTGAGAAGAGCTGGAGATGCTGAAGGTCCCACATGCGACATTTCTCCTCCCTTCCTGATGTGTGAGTGGTAGAGATTTGCTCTGGCACCTCCACTAAGTTCAGGAAAAATGTGTTTGGCCTGATGGAAATAAGTCCTTATATTATGTACATAATATGCAACTCATGTATCCTATGAATTAAGAAATAAAAATTAAAAACTACAAACGTGCTTGATATAAAATTGATGTGATTGCTTACTGGTCATGATGCTGTTTATGTAGCTTAGGTATCAGAAAAGCTTTTGAAATATAAAATAAAGAATAATTCATTTCTTTCTTTTTTTCTCTTCTCTTTCTTCCTTTCCCCCTCTCCCTCTCTAGCTCTCCTAATTTAAACATTTTTTTCTTATTTCACAATATCTACTACATGTTTTAGTTCTTATTTGCATTTTCAATGTCTCACACCAGACAAGCAATGTGGTATTTAGATATGTGTCTGATTTATTTCACTTAAGAGTATGGTCTCAAGGTGAACCCATTTATCCATTATCTTTCTTTACAGTTGAGTAGTAGTTAATTTTATTTCTTTAAAATAAAACACATCTTTTTTGTCCTTCCATTGTTTGATGGTCATTTGAGTTGTTTCCAAGATTTAGCTACTACAAACTATGCTGTTATAAACGTTGGTGTGCGTTTGATCTGAGGTTCTGCTGATAAAAGTATTTCAGCACTCACGAAGGAAAGCACGTTGAGGTGGCGCCTAACTGAGCACAGGCTCAGCTCAGCTGCAGTCTTGTTTCCGCCTGACCTTCTGGGGCATGTCAGGCCATGCACTGCCCACGGAGTGGATTCATCTTCCTGCCTCGGTTTTCCTGTCTAGGTATTCCTACCTGCAGTAGACTTCATTATGCTGCACATGCACGCTGGGACTGGCCTGGAGATCGGGACTGTCTTTTGTGAATGAGACTCAAGTGCTGCTGACCTGGCAAGAAATTGGCAACAATTTTGGTTGGCAAATTGGCAGCAGTTCCTCTTTATTTTCAGGCTCCTTTTCAAGGTACTTCTTCACCCAGTCATGGTCTGAAAATATAAAATGGCAAATTATAAGAAAAAATTCACTAAGAAGTGCGCACTGCTCTGAGTAGCATGGTGAACCCTCTTGGCGTCCTGTTCCACATTAGCCGAGGTACAAATCGTTACTTTATTTTTATGTGCTGCCTGCTGATTTGTCACTTAGTGGCTGTCTTGTTATCAAAATGACTGTCAAGGTATCACAGTGCTTGTGTTTCAATAATTTTTGTTTTATTTAATAAGGTTCCAAATGCACATGTACTGCTGCAAACAATGTGGACAAGACAAGGAGGATAAATAAAGTGCTTTTCTTAAATCAAAAGTGGTATTGTCTTATATTATGTAAGCGCAGGGAAACATACATTATATAGAGATTTGGTGCTGTTTATGGTTTTAGACATTCACTGGGGTCTTGGAGTGTGTCCTGCACAGATAAATGGGGAATATCCCATGTCAAATGCATGCTCAAATGAATAAGTGAAAAAAGAAATATAAAAAACATAAATTAGCAATAAAATTCTTCCTTATGTTATTACATTAAAATGAGTTTTGATAGAAATGAGGAAATGCCAACAAGTGAATCCTGTTGGATTATGAAGAATTTGTATTGTACCAATTGGACTGAAATTATATCAAATACAGATACAACAAAATTCTCTCTGCACTCCAAAAATTAATACTTCTCTTTGTGTTCCTTTAACTTCTATTATTTGCAATACAATTATCACTACTTTTAGGGCTGCTTTGGAGTTTGTCCTGAATATCTACATGTATGTTCTGCCAGTGCAAATATTTATTTTTTTGTGGTTTATTATTTTTCCATAATTTTATTGAGAAACAAATAGCAATGAGACAATTTTAAATCAAATTGGTAGGACAGTTTGAATAATTAACACATTGCATACTCTCTTCCTAGTGGTTAATTGCTGTACAAGATGCAGACATGATAACCTATTTACAAACACTATTAGAACAAATCCTTCTATTCATTAAGAGAATGTAGCTATATATCTATCCTAACCATTTTGAATACACAGATACAAAATGGACATTCATCTGTATCCCTTTTTTTGTTTAGTTCTGTCATTTGAATATTATAGGTATGTGAACTCAGCAAAATATCCCAAGAGTCCTCAAAACCAAATCTTTATGTTTCACATTTTATCTCTGAGAGATAAAAAGTGAAGAAAATATTCCACACATATTGTAACTTGTTATGAGACTTACCAACAGTACTGTACTTCTAGTGGACCCAACTTCATATCTTTTGAAATCCAAGAAATTTTTCTTTTCTGCTTACCCATCCACAGATAAAATGTCCTCCAGAGCCAGTAATCTAAGGTCTTCCAATTTTTTTCTCCAGCTATATTTTTAGAAATGTTTAATTTACTTGGTGTATAATTGATAAGGAATATAAAGAAACCAGCATTGGTTTTATTTCCTGTCATTTCTTAGTGTCAATTAGAATATGAGCACCCCCAAAAGGCTAATAAAATTGAAAACGAGGAAAATGAGACCATATATTTTCTGTAATATGGTCCGTGAACTCAGACTGTAAAGGAATATTTTCCCCACTGTGTGTCCTTTGTAAACTTCATTAATGTCTGTAATAAATACGCAATGCCACTATTTGTACTAATTAAATAAACTTCATGGGGTTCCCTCTTTCACCACTGTAAACCAAGGTGACCATTACTGACACACTCAAGTGTATTAGAGGTGATTTAATGTCCTAGGAAAGATAAAGAACTAAGAAAGAGAGCAGCAGGAGTTTGAGTCTGACCCTTATCAA